GCAAAAGAGTAGTTATATACTGCTTCACTTCAGTAAAATACATAAACCATTATATATTAATATTGGATGATTTTTATTTGCTTTTATTTTTTAGTATGATTTCATTTGTAGTATTACTATAATTATGAATGCTTACAAGTATCTACAAATTGAAGAAATTCTTTTATATTGTGCAAAGAAACACAGCTGTTGCCTTGAGCCACGCACTGCACAACAGAACCAGATTCACCACATTAGTTTATTGTATCACTATGAAACAGCTTTCCTTCTTGTCCCACACCCAAAGGCACGACTGGCTCACAGCTGGAAATACTGATGTACAGTTAGTCATTTTTTGCTATGTTCATCAGCAGTTCAGTTTTATAGACCTGAGCATGACACACTCTGTCTGGGTGCTCCTGTTCAGGATCTTCTTGCCCTGCCCAGAGCGCAGAGCAGGAGACCTCCCTGTGCTGCCGAGTTCCCATTGCTAGGTGCATACAAGTAGCAGGAGATAAGTACAAACATTTTCGTTTCCTGGCAGAAAAACTAGAACTTCAACTCTTGTTCATGCCAACAGTGACATGCAACAAAAGTCTAAGCAATGGAAGCAACACAGCAATAAATTGCATATTAACCTGCTGAACTAAATTGTATTTCAAGAAAATGTGTAGTGCCGGGCAGTTCAGAAAACCTCAAGTGAGATTGTACTTAATCCTTCAGAGATGCATTATCAAAGACCATTTGCAAATTCATATGGGCACAGCTTTAACACCTTATTAAAGGTGCCTTGAAGCCATGAATATTAAAAACCACCCACATCTAAAAACCCCCATGGCTCTCAGCAGGATTCTGAGTCACAATTTCTCAGGTGCAGACAACAATCAGAAAAAATCCCCTAAACTGGATGTTAAATACAGTATGTTCTTTATATTTTTATATATGTGCACATATACAAACAAACAAATATAATTGTACATTTACACACATACCCCCACATACACACTGGCAGTATATACACGTAATGTATATACTATAGTATGTTCTTCATGTCACGTTTTACAAATGCAGGTACAGAAGATAGATGGAGGGCACGGGGAAGAACTCAGCATCACTGACTGCAAATTAAAACAGAAGCTCCAAACGCACATTCTCCTCTATTTTTTTCCCCTTCTCCCCATTAAAATACCTCTCCACTTCAAATCTTCTATTGTCAGCAGTTACTTTAGATACTCATAAAGCTTCCACACAATTTGCCATTTTCTAACACTACTTTCACTTGATTCTTCTAGTCCCATCTATTTAGTTGACTTCATTTTAGTCACCTGGTACACCAACATGGAAATGTTCTCCTGGATATCTCCCCTCTACATTTCAGTTTTACACAAATTGATTCCCTGGATTTTTTCCTACTTGCCTGCCATGCATTCACAAAGAGTACACCGACTTCAAAAGACAATCCTTCCTCTTGAAGTTCTGCAGACTCAGGTGCTGAAGGACAAAAAAACCTCCCCAGCTGACTGTACATGGCCAAAAATAACACAAATCAGAGAACTTTCATTGGAAGTTAAGTACTCACATGAAATACAAAGACACCTTATCTCATTCTTATAGAAACACCAGTTCTTGTTTCTATGTCTGTCTGAAACTGGATTTTATTTCCTGACACCCATTCTGAAAGCCTATGCTGACTCTGATCCAGTCCAGGCTATGGAAGATCACACAGCAGCTGCAGTATCAAGCACAGAATTTCTGACTGAGAGGAAGCACCATTTAAAAAGAAATTCAGTGTTCAGATGTTGAACAACAGAATTCACCACTCCTTTCAGTAAGTTAACCTAAGGAATATTTACCCTTAAAAATATATGCCTTGTTATAGGTTGTTCAGCATCAGCTTTGGTTCAGCTGATTTTGCTCTGCAGCTGATTGCCAGAATTAGGAGGAGAGGGTAGAATTCTTTTAAGTACTTTTAGACTACAATCAAATTATCACAATCTCCCCCCCATAAAGTTATCCTAATTATTACACTTTCATTTTTTTCAACTGCTACCCTAAAAGCAGAGCTTGTCCATACGTTATGATCTTCTGGCTCTGTGCCAGCTTTCTCCCTTCAAATTACCAGTGCTTCTTAGCATGATGTTTCAATCCTTACTCATGCCAGTCTATATCAATGCTGAAGTGTAATAGTGTCATTCACTGTCCAAAACCACCTTTCTCAGCATATTGTCCCTTAATTAAACAGCTTTTCTGCAACTGATGACAAAAGCTCTGTGTCCTGGGGTTTTGACATTGCAAAGTATCTTGAGCATTAGCCCACTAGACATAAATACACTGAGTTTATGTATATGTTTTGAGAATTTGCTGTGTTTCATGAGGGATAGTACTAATAGGATTAGTAAACAACTGTAGCTCTTTAGACCACACAAGCTGCTTTTCAGAAGATGTAGATTAGCTACTTTCATTGCTATCATAGTGAAAGACTTTGCTTTGTGAGTAAATAAAATACAAGACATATCCACAGTGATTTCCAAATCAGACATTTCCATATCTTAAAAGACAGCCCTGAGTCATATTACTATCAGAAGTCCCTTTCCCCAACCAGCAGCATTGGCTAGGTTAGGATAGCGAAGTAAACAATCCATCTTCTATCTAAAACTGCCATCTCATCTGAGAGTCAGGAAACTCACTTCACAAGAGAAAAAAAAACCCAAAAAAAACTTACAGTCAATAGTAGCAAAGATTCCAGAAAAGATACCTTGAGAGAGCAAAGCATACAATGAGAAGACATGTAAAATCAGATTGGTTTAAGTTATTTTCTTATTTCAGTCTTTGCCTGAGTAAATGTTTTGGTTTTTTGATACATTCTTAATTGCTACAGGAATTTCAGATCCTTCTATTAAAATGCTTATTAGCACTACAAAGAAAAATCCAGGCTTATCAATAATGGTACTGTGAGAACATCAAAGACTGAAACAAAACTGACAAGCAGATATGGCCTGCCATATCTGTAACCAACATCTTCCACTATTTATTAACCCTGTACAACTCAAGAACAATGGAATGCTTTAATCAGGGCATATGCCTCAGTTACAATTTGAGTTTTGACATGAATATGAATTGTGCCTTCATGTTAAGTAAGGATTAACGAGTGGCATTTCCTGCAACTCATTTTACACTTCTACAGCACGAAGGCCACCTTGTTTTGGCAGAATGGCAAAGATGCTAACCTAAACAGATATTTTAAAAGATAATTCTTTAGTTTCCAACATGTTAAAGCATATGTTTACACCTAACATTGGGCAAACAACCTGTCCTGTTGCCACCACCAGGATTATTCCTATTAACAAAGTAGCTCAGCCAGCAAACCACTTAATTTCCAGGATTATGTTTCTGCCTCTGCCAGAGTGACAATTTTCAAGTAACATTCCTTACCAGAAGGATATTTTCCAAAACAAAAACCACCACAATTGTCACAACATCTTGGCTAGTCCATTAGAAATTTTAATTTAATGTTGTCATTGTGAATTTCTTAATTTCACAATCTGAAACTGACTCAAATTTATGGATTGTTCTGGGCTTTTAAAAACATTGCTGTGCAGCATTTTTCTACCTATTTCTTGCACTTTTTTTAAAAGTAAACATCAATACATCTATCATTTATATATTTTTATATATATATACACACACACATATATATATGTCTCTACTAGACAGGTGTCCTCCTCCTTTCAGCAAGGGGAAAAAAACCCGACCCAAGACTTCCACCAGTATTCAACAAATAAATCAGGTGCCAAACAGGATTTGGTTTTATGGCATCTCTCATATCCATGTCTGAAAGTGCCTTTTAATGACTCAGTCATAAGGCAGATGCTATGCTTGAAGAAATTCAAGCTAAACAAGCTAACAGAATTATTAACTATCCACACTAATTCTGAATGCAGCATCAGCACTTGTTTGGCCGATTTGGAAAAAATGAAAAGCAACATGTTCACAGTCACAAGACATTGAGAAACTCTAGTATAAACACACACGACAAAGAAAACATTCAAAATTAAATTTACCTCAGAACAATGTTGCCTAGCTATCAGAGGATTAGGTTTGGCATGACAGTAAACACAGCCTACAATTGCTACAGCACAGTCTCCTTCCAGAAAATTTTTGTCCTCTACAGCAACTCATGTCCCACCCAGCAACATCTGTTCATAATAACCAGCAGCCGACAGTGTAGAGGAAGCCCTTAATGTGCCGCCAAGGGGCAGTTTAACAGATGGCACAGTGACATACAACCACAATCATTAATTAAACTTCCACACTAGTCCCAAGATGCGATGCTGAAAGAACTTCCTCCAAGAAAGAACATTTCGGATAAATGGCTGGCTGCCACAGCCCCTGCCCGCACTCCAGGACACGCAGCTGGTGCTCATGTCCAGTCAGCGCAGTCCTCATTTTACAGTGTCCTGCCCTCCTTGTTCAAGGGAGCTACAGCAGGAAATGCAAGTCATCGTCTTTGGGTGTCAGCCCAACTGACACTCCATCACAGAAGCTCTAGGTAAGAGTAGCTGTTAAATGATGGATACCAGAAGATCTTGTTTAAACTGCATCCCCTTCTCAAGAAGGAGCTGGGACAGCAGATGAGGGGCACCTAAGCATAAGAAAAATAAAAAACCCCAACCAATAAAAAAACCCAGCTAACAATGGCAAAAGGAGGTTGACTTTTTGGAAATGGGAATTTACTAAAAAAAAAAATAGAGTAAATCTGAAGAAATTTGAGCCTATTTTTCTTTAAAAAGTATTGAGTTCTGGGCCTTCCATGTCTACATGTATTAAAACATACTAGACTGAACATCAGACCAGATTGTCTTCTCCAGACTTTTTACACCGCATTCGTACTCCTGTTTTACTCCAAATGTAAAGATAACACCTAGAATCATTTCTCTTGAGAGAAACATACAGATTAGGAGTCAAGCGGGAGCATTTGATGAGGCAATCGACTTGCTGGCACCAATGTAATCAGTACTCACTTCTAGCTTCTTCTCTTTCTCTGTCAATACATCCTTCTGATTCTGGGTGTACTCGATCAGCATGCGTGCCAGCTGGCGCCGGTCCTCCAGCTCTGCTGCCAGACGGCCATTGTACTCTGCTAGTAACAGGCATGCTTCGTCCACGGTCTTCGAAAGACGTTCGGCTGCCTCTTTGTCTACATGCACAAGTGTTGGGTAATTTAGAGGACAAAGTTTAAAACTTTTCATCTGTGATAGGGGGGCTACAACTCACCAGCCACACACAGAGTAATATCTCATTCATAAATACACTTCTGGCTTGACAGGAAAATAAGAGTTCTTATCACAGGGCACGTAAAGGAAATAGGCAGGACTAACAACCCAACAATGGTGGTTTTTAGACATCAACATGTCTTACTGCATTTCATCCTTGCAGAGATGTCAATGACTTCGGAGGGGGAATGGGGGGGGGAGATAAATCTATGAAGTTAGCCTCTATAAACAGGTTAATTAAACTAAAAGTTTAGGCTGTACTTTCAGAATTGAGTTGGTTTTCACTTTAAACATGGTGTGCACTTTTTAATTCCTCTTTTCTCTGAATCAATAATGTATCAATACAAGCAAACATATGAATTGCACGCTAGTCTTCACAGTTGGACACTGCAAGAGTGTATTATAAAGGACTGAATAAGTGTCAGTTCATAAGGAGTTCTAAATTAAAACTACTTCCAGGAACAAGAGTCAAATCAGTTCAACCTTTAAATGCTTCCATTAAGACCACTTTTCAAATACAATTGCAAAAGTGCGTTTAAACTAAGACTGACAGACTAATGGGGGTAGCGACCTTCCTTTTCTGTAGCAATCAAGAAGTACGTGTGTATTCAGTACAATCCGATAAAACTCAAAAATATCTAACAGTCAAGGTGTTCAGCATCAAACACACTCATTTGAGAATTCTGGCCCTATTTCCTTTACATTCTTGCAAATGCTGTTGATGCTCTCCAAGTACAAAAGCCCTGGTCCAAGCCAAAAAAAAAAATATGGAAGCAACTATGTAAGTTTTATCTTCAGTTTTACTCCATGGGATCGCTATCTATTAATTACCCAAAACCTACAAAACAATGACACAAAAGCAGGAATTCACTCCACCATACATTGTGATTATATAAAGAAAAAAAACCCCTTTGATTTCTAAGTTATTCTTTGGACGATGTTCATTCATCTTGCAGTTTCATACCTGTAATTTTCTCCAGTAATGAAACATCTTGAACTTCCTGAGGCAGGGAAGCAATTTTTTGCCGCACTGTTGCATCTCCTGATGCTGCGTTTTCCAGATCTTGTAGGGCTTTGATCAAATCCTCAGTCTACAAGACAAGTTAGCTAACATTAAAACCTGGTATGCCATTTCCTGTGGATGTGGCCACTGCATCTGAGGTCATCTACCTTTGAAAGCAACCATTTTTGGAATACTTTCTTCAAGTAATTTTTACACTGTTGCTTCCTAACACAGAGAGCATTCACTAAATTTACGATATCCCAGTGTTTAGGAACTTATGCATAATTACAGTAGGATCATCTTTTTCAAGACTCTGCCGTGAAAAATTTCTCATTCCAATTAAGAGACACGATCATTTAAGACAAAGCTGAAACGTATGTGACCACACCAGTCTGAGAAACAGTCATCAGCCCTTTGTGTTGCATCAAATCGGGATTCTATCTTTTACCTGAGCATCCCTGACACCTTCTCTTAGACTAGCAGGAGTATACACGTACCTCTGCTGTATTCCAAAGGTGCATTCTGACACAGAAAAACAACAAACCCAAAAAACCAACCCTAAACTTGTATGAGTCCAAACAAAACTGTGTCAGACTTCCATCATTATAAGATTTAAAATTTTGTAACTGGTTACCTACCATAAACTTTGATGATGATGAAAACTATACCTGTTAAAGCAAACTCTATATTGTCCTAATTTTGCAAAGCCATTGCTATCCTCATTTAGCTCAGCTGGCTTTTTGAAGCCATCTGCAATTAAACTGGACTCCACCGTATCCCCTCAACTTCCCCTCTCAGCTGGTTTTAGTGCATTGAAGAAAAATGTGTCAGTTTAAATGAATACACTCAAAACGTATTCTAGCTTAAAAAGATTGTGGATGAGGATAGTCTTCAGAGGACTTCCCCCTTGACACACCGTATTTCCTCCTGCTTAACAAAAAAAAAAAAAAAAAAAAAGGAGAAAAGAGAGAGCCCCTGAAGAAGAAGAAAAAAGTGAAAAAAAAAAGGTTTTTTTTAAAAAAACACTCGAGTTTTAATGGGAAGTTTTTGAAACTGGAACACTAGCCCTGTAAATACTACCACTGATGTTTAAACCACATTTCAATTGTTTGAAAATTTTAAAATATTTTTTTACTCTTTGAACAAATAAGTCCATTACCTAATATTTACTACTTCTTTGCAAATTGCTAATGATTTCCAATAGTAACAAACACAATGCTTATCATCAAGAGAAATCATAATCTGCAAGCCATCTGGAGGTAAAAAAAACCAACAAAAAATTTCACTTATTTCCTTGACAACTGTTATTTATTTTTACTTTTCAATGTCTATAGTCTACAAGATGGGTGGTGTATTTGTTTTATCCTTTTCAAATAGACAATAGTTTAACTAACATTTCAGCCTCAAAACAAAGTCTTCAGAATTGGTTTTCTTAGCCAAGTCCATAAAAATCTATCAAAGGTTGAGCTTTTTAATAGCTCGCAGACAGAGATGTCCTAAAAAAAATAACTGTGTTACAACTTTGGGTTTGAGATTACACACTGATCTTAAGACAGAATTTAAAATATGGTCTGTTCTTCTAGCAGTCCTTTGAGATTCTTTACTGGTACCACTACTCAGACTTTGGTTTAGACTACCTGAAATCACTCGAAGCGGCAGTGTTTCAACATGAAAAAGAATCTGTTCCATTTCACATGGACTTCTCAACCCCCAACTGAATTTCTCCATTAAAGCCATTTCACTTGTTGGCAGCTCCACCTTGTGGCTGTACCACACAGGAGGTGGCTTTCAGAACTCCCGTTCCACATACCAGCAATGGCCCAGCACTAGGGTCTTGGGGTGAGTAGCTCCCAGGGTAATCGTCATCTTCCTCCTCTTGTATTTGCTGAAAAGTCCGCTTTAAAGACTTCTTCTCCTCTGCAACTAAAGACACATATAAACAACTCATTTGGATGTCATATCTGCCCACCTTAACTGTCTCCTCTTCAAAAAACTGTACCAGATGCTCTGATGGTTAAGCTCTCTAAAGAGAAGGAAGACCACAGTTGGACTCTAAAGTTGGCATCATATTCCAAACACTCAAATGCAAAACAGCAATAAAAGGTTGATTTTGCCCACACACGTATCTCTGTACATGTAAGTACGAGGATACGGTCTTCATATAAGCAGTGTGCACCGCACATGTTCGTGTCTCCTGCACTGAAAGTAAGAAATGCAAGCAAATGTCCTATTTGTCAATAAATGTCAGGTCTTCCACCCTGCTCAGGTTCTCCAGTTAATACCATGTATGCAGGAAAGGATTTCTAACAGTAGAAATGAAGCATTGATGCTGGGATACATACGGACAGAAGAATTTCAATTTATCTTTTCGCACTGAGTATATACTCACTATGGTCCCACAATCAACTAAACTGCTGGTTATTCAACCTTCTGCTCTTCCATCAAAGTAAAGACTTCAGGACAGCTCTGTAAAACTAAAAAACTCCAAGATGTGACAGCAACAACAGCAATGGGCAGAGCATGAACCGATCTCCAAGCAGGTAACCTATAACACTTCAGAAATAAGGATTTCATACAACAAGGTTCATTTAACCAGCACTCTCTTAGCGTAGCATACCCCAGCTTGAAAGAGAAGAGGGAGTTTATTTAATGAATCAGAAGTCTTTGATCCAGTTACAGAGCCTTCAGAAGACAGATCATTCTTCAGACTCGCCACCAAAATTCATAAGAGCCAGGGTAATTTGTAAGAAAGTTTTAGACAGAGTCTTGTGAACATCTCTTCAATGGAATCAAGTCTTGCTAAGATAATCATGCAGTTCAAGGGAAATAGCCTGTATATACTTTGATTCACAGGAAAATCCAAGATCACTCTTGATTTAAAATGAAATCACTCTGCCCAACTCTAATGAGGAAGCAAACAGAAAGGTCTGTCCCTAAATGCAGAATTTTGCCTGCCTTGTCAGGTGGGACATACATCTGAAAAACTATTGTCATGGACAGAAAGTCAGAGGTGCTGTACATCCTGCTCATGTGGGAAAAAGCTAAATGACCTTTGTGAGGCAGACAGAAACACGTCTCTCAGAACAGATTTACTCAATGGAATGCCAAGCAGCACAGAAAACAGTTACCCTAAACCAAATGAATTTTTGATGTATGCTAGAGCAAAGCTATCTAGGCTAGAAAAAGGTACATTCTAAGTATTGTATGCATACAATTGATGTAATAGCGCTTGATAATCTGACTCAAAGCAAGTAAAGTACCAGACCAACAAGAAAAACGGCTGCTGCCCGCTAAGGTCTGCAAAAGACATGAGTTGAACAGGAGATGTGCTTTCAACAAAATGGCCAAAGACAGCATTTAAAGTTACCCAGTGCATCGTGCCATCAATATTTATTACCTGTGTGTACTTATTATAAAGTAATTAACCAACAAAGGACAAACACAAGATAATCAATAGAAGAATGTATGACCATAGTGCACACAGAAGTGAAAATGAGAACTGGGATTCA